TTGTGAGCAAAGTCTAATACAAACTCTTCTAAGAAACCCACTCACTATGCACACATGTATAACAAAATTTACAAGTGTTCCATTTGCGGCCGAAAAGGCCATATTGCTAAATTTTGTTATAATGCACAAAAGCCCATCAAGACAAATAATTATTGTGCATTCCATCAAGTTTCTTCATTACACACACATGCACATGTATCAAATGCTCATCATAAGCATGCTAGTGTGTTTAAATGTGATCATTGTGGTCGTTTTGGTTATTTAGCCGAATATTGTTTTGATTTGAAAAGAAAATCACGTTTGCCAAATGTTTATAGTAGACCATATATTTTTAAATGTGATCTTTATGGTAGATTTGGCCATTTGGCGAAGTTTTGTTATGATTTGAAAAAATATTCAAACTTGCCAAATTTCTCAAATAAACCACCTTTGTTTAATAATGTTTTTCATTTGCAAAATAATTTTAAAAGCCAATTTTTATTTGCAAATGATTCTCGTGCACTAGCTAATGATCCACAAAAACAAATGAATCTCTTTCGTTGCACAAATTGTAATCGGAAGGGTCATTTGCACGATTATTGTTATGACCATGTTAGTGCACCACATGTGCCCAAGAGGGTTCATAAACCTAGGGCTTTGAGCTTTATTGATAGGGGTCATGTCTCTAAACAATCCGGCACCAAGAATGCTTGAGTGCCAAAATAATTTTTTATTACCAAGAACTTAGTGTTTTTTATTTTTATTTTTCTTGGTTTTTAAAATATGCTTTGAAAAATTTTTTATTACCAAGAACTTAGTGTTTTTTATTTTTATTTTTCTTGGTTTTTAAAATATGCTTTGAAAAATTTAAATATGAAAACAATTTTTCTTTATTTATTTTTATTTTTCTTGGTTTTTAAAATATGCTTTGAAAAATTTAAATATGAAAACAATTTTTCTTTAATCAAAATCTTTTGTTTTCATGACTATGAGTTTCAATTTTCATGAGAGGTTTATATTTATATAAACCCCCGGGTTTATTGGGTGTTTATTTCCCAAATCATGTTTACCGGGTGCTAAAATAATTATATGGATTGGAACAAGCTTAAGAGCTTAATATATTGTTGGCTCTCTTGAAATTCTTTTGTCAAAGATTTTATTTTGATTTGTTGCTTTGAATTCATTATATTTCACTTATATGATGATATTCATATGTTTGTGCTCATGGATCATCTATTCGTGCCTTATAATGTATTCTATGAGTGGTTTGATCAAGTTATACAAAGAAAATTTACTTTTTTGATCAACCATTGTTTTTGGACTCAAATCTTGATTTATGATTTCATTTGAGTGATTTGTTTTTATTTGAAAACTTTTTTCATGGTTCTCATGTTTTCCTCATTCCTTTGTTTTCATAAATTTATTCATACATGGTTTTTATGTTTGAGTAATGAAACATTATTTCATAATGACATATCAATATATGTTCTCATTGTCTTGTTTATATGTGAGTTATGTTTAGCATATCTTTTATTTATGCTTACTCACATGTTTTTGCCTTAGCTTTCATTTCATATATTCTATATGGCATTTTGATAGGGGAAGTTATTCCCTATACTTGTTTTATACTCACTCATACATATTGATAGGGGGAGCTTTCGCTCTCTTCATTCTTGTTGTTTTCCCTTTTTGATGTTGTCAAAGGGGGAGAAATATTGTGAGTATATTCTTTTAGTTTATATGCATGATAATTACTATATTGTATATTCAATTTCTTTTCATGCATATATCCTTTTTGTAAATTGTTTGTCATCATCAAAAAGGGAGAGATTGTTGGCCTTCTTGTTTTGATGATGTTTAACAAATAATTTACTTCTAATATTGTTTGTCTAGTGTTCTATTTATTATAGACAAACAACACGTTGGAGGATGGATGGATTGCGCCATAACGATTATATCAAATGGAGGTTGACGGAATAGTGGGTGAAGCCTATGCAATTCAAGTTGAAGATCCAAGTTCCAGCTTCATCTGTAATATGTACCAAGTCAAGCTTATTGAAGATCAAGATCAAGCTTGGGTAACATTAGTTTAGGTTTATATTATGTGTGTTGGTACTTTAAGCTCAATCATATATACACACACATTATATTGGTTTCCTTGTATATATATATATATATATATATAGTTATAAAGCTTTGTTTATATATATATAGGCTCAGAAGTAGGTCATTTTATCGAAATCGATTGCCTCACCTATAACTTACAGATTTATTGTAGATTGCAATCTAATGATGGATTACCTCGCCTAGATACAATGTAGGTTGCATTCTCATCACAGATTGACTCATCTAAATAAACACTATAAGTTAAATTGCATTCTCAGTAAAAGACCATCACCATTACCAAATCTAATCTAATCTAATACTAATATAAAAGTAGGTTGCTATGTTAAAACATTTCTTCCAAAAATGCCCTCCAACACATTCATCCATACATACATGAAATGCACAAACACTTAATTTTTCACAAGCTCATCATTTACTACACATCCACCAATCATACATACATATGCATTCTCAATTTTTCATAACCTCCATATTTATGACCAAAGCATGTGTACATGCATAAACACATGGGTATTATAAATATAACAACTTATTTATGTTTTACAACTTAGAGAATTACGATGTTATTTTTATAACTTAGAGTATTTAAATGTAAATATAATCAAACAATAATCTAATACTAATATAAAAGTGGGTTGCTATGTTAAAACATTTCTTCCAAAAATGCCCTCCAACACATTCATCCATACATACATGAAATGCACAAACACTTAATTTTTTACAAGCTCATCATTTACTGCACATCCACCAGTCATACATACATATGCATTCTCAATTTTTCATAACCTCTGTATTTATGACCAAAGCATGTGTACATGCATAAACACATGGGTATTATCTCATATCTCATATATAATATTGCACATGGGTACTATTATTAACACATGGGGGTTATGAAGATGAAACACTCTAATGTTTTACTATGTATTAATAATAGTATATCCTAGATATTGCAATATTTAGTTATAAGAAAAAGGCATTATAATATTATACAATAAATAGTTTACTTTACACAATTTATTAATGATGATGATGATAATAATAATATTGTGCAAGATAATAATAAAAAACTCATGCAACCATGCAACCATAATAAATCTCATGCAACCATGCAAAGATTAAATTCACGCAACCATGCAAATACCCAACCATAACCTCAAAATTAAATTCAAAAAACTCATGAAACCATGCAAATACCCAACCATAACCCCCAAATTAAATTCACCACCTCATGAAATCTCCATTTAATTAAATAATAATTAATCAATAACCCTCTCATCTCCCTCAAGTGTAACTCACTTACCTTCTCTTTCCTATATAATCCCTCTCTCATCCTCAACCTATGATCACACAACCAATCCTCAACCTATGATTACACAACAAATCACCTATAATAATAAAAGCACCTACAATATCTCTTTCTCGTACCATCTCCTTGGAATTTTCATGAAGGAACATTTCTAGGTGATGCTTCTATTTAATCATCTTTTGTAAGAGTTCATTTACATATTGTCTACTATTTATCCATTGTCTTTGCTTCATATTTATTGCAAAATTAAAAATATTCCAGAGCAAGAAGAGTTAAAGTTTATAATGGGTATGATCAACACTAATTTGGGCAATTATTCTGTTTAGCATAATCGAAGGTGAATATGTATTTCACATGTTTTAAGGAATTTATTAATTAAAATTACTTTAACAATGTAGTTGTTCTCTTATTTTTTTTTGCTTCTTTACCTTTAAATTAACCAATATTTTATCTTTTACAATTCTTTGACAACGAGAATATCCTTTGCCCTAATATTGTGCTTATTTAAGTGAATCTTGGTGAATACGTTAAAGTTTTGATAAGGTGACAGATACTTTAAGCGAAATTATGACATATCTAAAATTAAAGATAAACGACCAATAAATATGTTTAATTTTTGTCTTATACTATTATAAAAGTGGATTGGAATGTTAAAACATTTATTCCAAAAATGCCCTCCAACACATGCCTACATGCATACATAATAAATGTATTTATGTAAAAAAAATTACTTCAAGAACAAAATAATAGAAGTTGGGCATATAATAATGGAAGGTTACTGTGAATGAATTAGCAACTAATGTATTTATTTAAAAAAATTACTTCAAGAACAAAATATTTCATCCAGCTGATTGAGAATTTGCACATGCAGATATCTTACTAATTATTTAGAAGAGAGCTCCGATTTTGAACATTTGTAATGAATCAATGCCAAAAAGAGAGTTCACTTTCATTCTTGATCTTCTACATATGTTTAAATATTGAAAATAATTTTTTAAAAGAACATAACTTATCTTTTACTTTTATCATATATGTTCACAAAATTCTATCTTATTAGTTTTGAACAAAGTTTGAAAGTTTGAATTGATGTTTTTAGGCCATATAAAGCAAAAAAATTATTATGAAAATTCAAAAGAAAAAAATATGTTCACGTGCAACGCACGTGCACTATACTAGTATATATATATATATATATATATATATATATATATATATA